TCTAATGGCTCTAAACCCTATGCCAAAAGTGTTATATACCCCAAACCACCAAGGCAGCCGAGCTCAACTTTCTCTTCACCAGGGCCCTCTCAAGACGGTACACCTTTGAGAGGCCATCGTTCAAGTCTCAGTCACCGTAATTCTTATGGCTTCACGGACCCATCGGACGGTAGATACTCGCGGTCTATGAATCAAGTGATGGGAGCAGGCCACTACGTGCCTTCTTTCCAACTGTCGCAGCACAGCATAGCATCTCCCACATCTAACGCTCAAGAAGCACTGGATCTTCTTGCTAGTCTTTGCGAGGAAAGTCACTGGACTTGGGTTGATGGCATGTTATTGGGAGGGTGTCTTGCATACGGTTTAGAGGACTACAATAGAGCGCGAGATTGGTATGAGAAGATAATCGTTATAGATCCAAGGTATGTTACACGACACCATTGAAATGACACCCTATCTAACTTTAATCTCAGGCATGTGGAAGCAATTTCAAACCTGGCGGCAACACTTTTGTGTCTGCAGAGACGCGATGAAGCAGAGGCAAACTGGCGAAAATCCGTCAACCTTCGTCCTAATTATTTTGAGGCTGTTGAACATCTGATAGGTCTTCTATGTGGTGATCATCGCGGTCAGGAAGCGGTTGCTATCATTGAATTTGTAGAGCGGTCTTTACGGATTCCTAAACCGGATGATCATCATGATCATTACAGCGAGACGTCGAGTAGTACTGACCGAGAGTTTCACGATTTCGCAAGTACCACTTCTGATACAGTTGTTGACTACGACGATAGGGACCGTCGTTCAATTTTGAGTGAAAGGCTTGAAGATAGTTCTGAAAAGGCTGGGTTTGGTTCAAGTGGATTCGCAATACCTGGAGCTGAAAATGGTCGACTGCTAGCTCTCATACATGCTAAAGGAAATATGCTGTATGCTCTCGGTGATGTCAGTGCAGCATCTAAAGCTTTTGAGGATGCCGTTGTCATAAGTGCAGGGAAAGGAATTGGCGGAATTCAAGGACTCATTCGCAGGATAATCCACAGCCTGACTCTTGACTGTTTTCCTGGAATGCGTACCGACCCTGCCTCAACGCCAAGCTCAGCACCCTTGCTCTTACCCCCCGAAAAGGCATTGGAGTCAAAATCACTGGTATTTGCAAGAAACGGTGAACTCCCTGGTCTTCGATATATTCCCGAAGGATTAGCCCAAAAGGCTGCCATATCAACTACCAGTAACTCTCTGTTGTCCTTAGCCAAGATCTTCCAAGATGCCATGTCCAATAATACATCACAACGGATTTCAAGAATGCCTACAGGTGTCGGAGACATCCTCGCATTGTATTATTTATCTTTATCGTTGCAACCCAGTCCATCAACAGCTAATAATGTTGGTATTCTTCTGGCAAGCGTACAACAACCCGCAGCTCATCGACCAATTCCATCTCGAGATACCGCAAATAATACTGCGATACCTGGAGTTGTGGCTGGTAGCGGTGTTGCTTTAGCACTTGCTTACTATAATTATGGGTTGCTCTTGGATTCAAGACATGCACACCTCTACACCAATTTGGGGAGTCTACTCAAGGATATCGGTCAGCTTCCAGCTGCGATTAAGATGTACGAGAAAGCAGTGCATTGCGATGGAACATTTGACATTGCTTTAGCAAATCTAGCAAATGCTGTCAAAGATCAAGGACGTACAAGCGATGCGATTGTGTACTACAAGAGAGCGGTGAAAGCAAGTCCTGATTTCGCGGAAGCAGTTTGCGGTCTTTCCAACGCTTTGAATTCAGTATGTGACTGGAAAGGAAGAGGGGGCGTTATCCTTGATGGCGGTAAACGAGATCGTTGGCATGTAGACGATGATGGAATGATCTCGGAAGCAAATCCGAATAAACATGGTGGAGGACTGATGAAACGAGTTGTTGATATTGTTGCCAAACAATTGAAGGAAGGATCGATTTGGGGTCGTGGAACTTTGCAGGGCCAAGCATTTAACCATTTTCTTCGACAACTCGAAGCCGCTGATTGTGGTGGGGAATGGCCGCGGGAGAAGAGAGAAAGTATTCAGACTGCGCTTGGCGCCTGGACTGGACATCGCTGGGAAGGAGCTCGAATTGTTCGTTTGGTTGAACGTGCCACAAAACGTGCCACTCGTCGATGGTTTCAAGACAGATATGTCAAGAAAAGGGAATATCCTCCTAGTTTTTATCCTCGGCCTCAATTTCCAAGCAGCCTGTCGGTACCATCGGCACCTACCGTGTTACCGTTCCATACTTTCACTTGCCCATTGTCTGCGAAAGATATACGGCAAATTTCTCAACGAAACGCTCTCAGAATTTCGGCCTCAACGCTGCGATCTCCTTGGATGCAAGGCTCCGTGTTTCCTCCCCCTTCTCCTCCAAGACCTCACCTCAATATTGGATATGTTTCTTCCGACTTCAACAATCATCCATTAGCACACTTGTAAGTTTCTTTTCCGACCTCCCTTTGCATCACCATGCTCATAAAATTTTAGGATGCAATCTGTCTTTGGATTCCACAATCCATCACGAGCAAAAGCCTTTTGCTATGCCACAACTGCTAGCGATACTTCCATTCATAGACAACAAATCGAACGCGAGGCCCCTGTTTTTCGTGATGTCAGCTCATGGTCTGCTGATCGCTTAGTGAATCAAATTGTTCAAGATAATATTCACATTCTCGTGAATCTCAACGGATACACTCGAGGCGCTCGTAATGAAGTGTTTGCTGCACGTCCAGCTCCCATTCAGATGTCTTTCATGGGCTTCGCTGGAACTTTAGGGGCTGAGTGGTGTGATTATCTTCTGGCAGATGAGACTGCTATTCCACATGAAACGTTGCGACCCTGGAGACGAAATATTGACTTGGAGGATCAAGTTGAGGATGAGCAGTCTATCAATGATGATCGTTGGGTTTATTCGGAGAATATTATATTCTGCAGGGATACTTTCTTCTGCTGTGATCATGCTCAATCGGAACCAAGGGATCGGCAAGCATCCTGGGAAGAAGAACAAACAACACGATGGAAGATGAGAAAGGAACTCTTTCCAAGTTTGTCTGACGATGCTATTATTCTTGGGAATTTCAATCAACTTTACAAGGTATGTCAAACAGTTTCCAGTCTCTGTTGCTTAATGCTTCTGCTAATTGTTCTCAGATTGAACCCACTACCTTCCGTACTTGGCTGAGGATTTTGGATAAAGTACCGAAAGCAATTCTTTGGCTGTTGCGCTTTCCTGACCTAGGTGAAAGTAATTTGAAAGCAACGGCACGAGAATGGGCAGGAGAAAGTGTAGCTTCCAGAATTTGGTTTACAGATGTAGCGCCCAAACATTTGCATATTTCCCGAGCACGAGTTTGCGATCTGTTCCTCGATACTCCAGAATGTAATGCGCATACAACAGCTGCAGATGTTCTTTGGTCAAGTACACCTCTCCTCACCTTACCACGCTACAAATATAAGATGTGCTCTCGCATGGCAGCATCAATTCTCAAAGGCGCATTACCTCGAAGTGAAGAAGGTGAAAGGGCCGCTTCGGAACTTATCTCAAAGGATGAAGCACAGTATGAAGAATTTGCGATAAGACTCGCCAGAACATTTTACTATGATACGACTACGGGGTATGGTGTAGGCAGAGGGAGATTGGGAGATCTCAGGAGATTACTCTATGAAAGTCGATATGATTGTGCACTTTTTGACACGAGAAGGTGGGTGAGGGATTTAGAGGAGGCGTATGAGATTGCATGGAGGAGGTGGGTGGACGGTGAGGGGGGTGATATTTATATTCGTTGAGTTGTTATGTTGGGGGTGTAGACGCTTGGGCGATGTCATACGACATGTTTGTGATAGGCTGGAGGTAGTCGGGCGTTCATCCTTCGTTTCGGGCGATGTATGGAGTCTTTTTGGAAGGCATTTTTGGATATCATATGGATGGCGATGGCGACGGTGGTTTTGAGGCGATACGGGGTAGGGATGTTTGGATACCATAGAAATCGGATCGCTTTTGGGATATACTACTCAAGGGGCATTAGGCTACACTAAGGTTATAGGTAAAAGAAGACGAGGATTCTCATGTCAGGGGCGTTTGTTTCTTCTTCTTCTTCTTCTTCTTCTTCTTCTTCTTCTTCTTCTTCTTCTTTCTTTTTGATATAATTTCTCTGATTTTTTGTAATACTTTTTTATTATCTCTTTCTCTGGGGAGCAGTGTTATCTCTTTCTCTGGGGAGCAGTGGTTTGCTGGGGGATTGAAGGGGAATGGATGGGTGGTATTGTTGGTAAAGGTCAGATGGATAGGGATAGGGATAGGGATATCTACATACATGGTGGCTACATGGCTTTGGAGAAAGGAAGGCGATGAACGGAAAGGAAAGGAAATCAATAGACTACGTTTCTCGAGCGCGAGAGTTTACTTGTGGTGACTTTATCTTTGTGATTGATTTTTCTCTACATGCAGCTCTTGAAGCTTACGGGATTCCTGTGATGTGTGTATGTATGTGTATGTGTGTGTGTTTATGTGTAGGATGGAATAGAGTGAGTATATTTGTGTGCGTGTGTGTGTGTGTGTGTGATGAGGATACTGGAGGTTAGGAATGAAGGATGAAAGGTTGAAGAGAAGGGCGAAAGGGATGCATGTTTGTAGGTTGATACGTAGTGTCTCTTACTCGAGTAACAGCTCCATGAATGGAATGGGAGACTAGGGTGATATTAATTAACGTTGCGGTGGGCACTTGGTAATGTCTTCAATATCTGCAATGTCGAGGTGAACTTCAAATCGCATCACATATTTAAAGCACAAGACACGAAAATCAAACGACATCAAACAATAAAGTTCTAAAAAATCCTTGAACTCCATTGTAAAACAAATTGGTATATCAGTATGACACAGAAAGCTTTTGATATTCATTCATAAAGCCTAACTATTGCGCCTCCCATTTTTGTAACCCTCCAAAGAGAACCCATTTCAACAAAGCATGAATAATTTAGTATTCAGCGGAGCTTCCTTGTGGGAACTCGAAAGTGACGGTACGACCAGTCAATCTCTTGTAAACATCAGAGTAGGTATCGAGTCTGTGATCAACACCTCCCTTCTCCTTCTCATCGAGGATAACCTTCAAGATCTTGCTTCCATCCTCCTTGGTGCGGAGACGCTTTCCGACAATCTCAACTGGGTAGACGATATCGGTAAGGATAGCGTCGTGGACGGCAGTCAAAGTTCTGGAACGAGGACGCTTTTGGGTGAGGGAGGTTCTGGATCTGTTGGATCTCTTTGGGCGGGGAAGGATACGACGACCAGCAAGGATCAAGACGTGACGGTCAGAGAACTTCTTCTCGAGCTCACGGGTGAGACTATTCAATTATTAGAGAGTTACCAACATGTCATGGAGTTGGAGAAACACATACCGTTGTTGAACCTTGTGGAAAGCAACGAGGGAAGGAACGGGGACAAAGATGGCAATAGCCTTCTTGCCGTGGCCAACTTCAATCTAAAATTTGATTAAAGTCAGCTCGCGATCTCCAGTCTCAAGACATGGTCCGCAGCCCGTTCGATTCCACCATCAACACCGACATCCCCAACTCTCAATTTGTATAATGTATCGTCATCAAGTTCATTTCATCTTGTTTTTCCCAATTGACCAAAGAATATCCCTTTTCCATCGTATGTTTATATTTCGAAACTTTCGAAGAAAAAGTGATATCGATACCCAATGTTTAATTGTTGATGAAATGTCGTCTAGTATACGGTATACGAAAGTGATAATTCGAAATGTCGGCATCAATCGTAAAATTATCGAAGGTCGATAAAAGCTGCATTCCCATTTTGCGAAGTGCGAAAATGTTGCGAGAATAGCAAGCATACACAGAGCACAGCGAAAGTACATCTGCGAGTTAATCACACGGACAAAAGAAAAATGGTTAACTAACCTCCTTAGCAGAAGAGAATTGAAGAGGTCTCAAAGCAGCCTTCAAGTCTGGGGTGTTGGACTCGAGGTCATAGAGAGCAGTAGCGATGCTGTTCTCAAGCTCAGATGGGTTGGCGTGGGAAGGGCTGGTGGCCACGATCTTGTTGATGGCAGACATGCTTGCGGTTGTCGATTGTCGATGGATGGGAATGGAGAGAGACGAATTTCAAAAGTTTTGGATGGAGAGTTTTGAGATTGATTGTGCGAATTGTGAAGCGAAGAGCTAGTGTAATTTAGGTTAGTGGGTATAATTTGTGTCCAATTGAATTGATTATAATGTGGGGTAATATTTTGTGAAATGGAAGGACAGGATTAGTACAGAATAGTAGGTAGGTATCTACACAAACATTCTCAATGATCCCTATACATATGAATATACCTGACATACCTACCTATATATCTATACGTACCTAGCATATCAGGAACATCCACACAAGCAACCACAAACAATCTCAGAAAACTCTAGAATCGTTAGAGAAAAGATTAACGAAATAGAATATCCCATCATTGCATTCCTCATCCAGGACATGATTAATACACATCTTAAATACACCACTGGACATCACACCAATACTTCAACTTTGCCAATACAAAAGATACATAAATATCTCATATTTTGCTTAATCTCTAGACATCTTTAACATCTATAAAACGAAAAGGTAATTCTATACACAAAAAATCCAACCCAAAAACGTGTCTGATAATAAATGCATGCACCGCATACAGCCCAAAAGGTTTCAAGTGGTGCAATCCCCATCCATCCATAAGCCAATTCCCCAATCATGTCGAGAATCCTTGGCATACCCTTTTGCTCTAGATATTCATACCCCCATGTGTGTGTATGAACGCCTCCATATTAAAACCCACCATGCATGCCAAATCCATGTCCTATCCCAAAGCACCTAACCATCTCCCTCTAGAGAAGATCTATCCATGTCCAACTTCAAAAGCAGGTCCATTCATCCCCTTCCTCTTTCTAATCATGTAACGAATGACGAAGCGACGAATTGACCGCCCCCTCAAAAAATTCCCAGTTTTTCAACGCCCAAAAAGAACCCCAAAATCAAAGTCCATTCCCCAGCACAACACCACACCCCGTCTTTCAATCTCTCACTTCACTCAAATCCCAATTCTGGGCCCACTCTCCAACTTCTCAATTCCCTTCAATCCAGCTCCAAAATCCATAACCAGAATCTTGGGATCCTGCCCAGTACTAACAATTCTTCTATAATCACTCTTGGCCCCCAACACCCAACTGGCATGCCACTTTGGAAAGTCTAGTAACAAACCTCCCGTTTCCATATCCCAGACCTTAATATCCTGATCATAACTTCCAGAGATTAATCTTCCACTAATTGAATCGATATGTAAAGATCGTACCAAATTCTCATGAGCATTGATTAATTTTAAGCACTCCCCAGTATTGGCATTCCAAATACGAATAGTTTTATCGTTACCAGCCGACGCGATATATTTTGAATCTTCGGAAAATTGACTGCAAGCGAGACCTTTGGTATGACGTGAGAATTCTCGAATATTCTTCCCCGTATCGATGTTCCATAACTTGACTCGGAAATCTCCACTGCAGCTTACAATAGAATTTCCCCTCAACTGTACTGCATTAACTGGACCTGAATGACCACGAACTTGTTTTATCAACTGACCCGAGCGACGATCCCAAATACAGATACTGACATCTTTAGAACATGTAACAATGTATCGTTCATCGAATGCGAGATCAAGTACAGCTGCAGTGTGGTGTTCCAGACGCATAATTGGTTCGTATCCTTTCTTAATGTCGTACATGATACATGTACCGTCTGATGAACCAGTTACAAGGATATCATCGTCGTACTGAAGACACAAGATCGATGCATTGTGATGCATTGGGAAAGAGACAGTTCGTGGTTTACTACCAGGTTGTCGTAATTCATCTGGACCTCGTTCGACTGGACCTGTCGCATAATGTGCAAGACTTCCGTCAGGAGCGGTCAAGAGAGCCGGATTGTTCACAATAGCTGGAGGTCCAATGACCAAGACACACTTGTAAGTTTTGATATCCCACACACGAATCGTTCTATCTCTAGAACCAGTGATGATTTTGTGCCTATGAAAATATTAATGATTGTCCTCGGGTGGAGAAATGGGCAGTATTAACTTACTCATCGAATTGGGTGCAATAGATACTGTCCGTATGCCCAAGGAGATAAGTTGGTGTCGATTCGCCAAGAATCCATCTGTCGTCCAACTTTTGCCTAATGCGATAAATTTCTTTCCAGTCCGTTTCAGGATCCAAAGCTGGGACACCATCTCCCACTCCTGGAATAACTGGATGGGGCATAGCATAAGCTCTTGATTTCTCTCTCAAGAAAGTCTCCCGCCAAACGTGTTTTGATCCTGCCATAAATGCCCACTTGCGAGAAACCTGTTCCACTCTGCGTAGAGACTTATGATCCAGATAAGATAGTATTTGAGTAGCGAGTTCCATTGGAAGGCATCCTATAAAATCAACCCGACTAATTGACGTGTCTTGGGCGTGTATCGAGTCGATTAACGTACTGACCGCTATGCCAATAGCACTTTCCCTATCATTCTGTTGTGTGTCTTCAGATCTCAAAAAGTTTCGATTTTTGAAGAGATTCTGGGCAGCTGCAGTAGCTCTCGCGGCTCCACCAGTCCCAGTCGGTATAACTGGAGGTGCGCCGCCATGTCCAGGTGTCGGGGAAGCCAATTCTGAGCAAGAATCTACAGGGCCCTCAAAATTGAAGTGAGATGGTATCATCCTCGAATTTCTGTTGAAACTTGTGGCTTGTCGTAGTCTGTGCCAAGGGGAGGATGAAGAGGATGGACGTTCTTCCGTGGCATGCGAATGTCTCCTCTTTCTGTTCTTTATGGATACTGAAGCACGTCGAATCAAACCTCTTATACCACCTGTCCGCCGCGCATCTAGCGGTTCTTCCAAATCTTCATTCACGGACAGGTCTGACATTCGCTCTAATACATCAGCTTCTAAGGGGACCGATCCAAGACGCGCTCTGCGAAAGGGAGTGCGGTTTGTGCTCGCTGTCTCTGCTGGAACATCCCATCCTCTCGCAGTAGCAGGACTTATGAGGGTGACTCGTGCCTGCTGAACAGGAGAATATTCGTCATTTGGAAGGATTCGAGTCATTGTCGTCGCTTGCGGATCAAGAAATTATGGTGGGTATGGAGGGACTTGAAGGAATTGGCAGATAGCTGAGTGGTCTTGAAGTATTCAAATAATTGGGCCAAAACTTATGGTCCCTGCAGGATGAATTTGTTGTCCGGGGAAAGGAACAGCGTAATAGTCTGAGGAGACAATGGGCGGTGTGAATGAAGATTTTCGGGTCAAGTTTTTGGATTTCAGAAAGAAAGAAAAGAAACGAAAAGAATTAAAGTGAAATGAGGAAGAATTGATAGATTGACCGGTTTATAAAATTAAATGAATGTGTTGATGATGGAGGAATTGGAGAAGATGGAGGAATTGGAGAGGAAGAGTGTGAAAATGTAAGAAAGACGGATGGTTAGACACTTGAGGAAACAAATTCAATTGTGGATCGATAAAACGTTGCAATTCACAATCAAATAAATATAAATACTGTAGAGGAATGATAATAAAGAGTAAATGATAAACGATAAGTAATAAATAATCAATCAGGAATCCGTTTTTTAATCAAAAGGCGAAATGCCGTTGTTTGATATTTCTCTTTTCAGCTCATATTCCGTCGGATAAGGAAATTTCAGAAAGTAGCTAAGGGCTTGGGAAGGAGGGATGAACCTTATCAAGGGAGAGGCAAATCTTATTCTTTCTCCCAGATTTGGGTGCGAGAGGAGGGGAATTGGGAGCATGATTCTTCTATCCTTCTTACTTATATTACATTGCCATACTCGTACAGTCTAGGTAGAGGCTCGAGAGAGGTTAGGAGAGATAAAGTTTGATCCGAAGCGCTTGGTGTATCTGTTCTATCTGTTCTAGGAGAGGAGAGGAGAATGTGAAATGTAGAAGAATGTACGTCGTAGAGATAGAATAGATAGAATAGTCAAATACTCCCGTATTATTATCTTGGTAGCTTCACCTAGGTAGCATCTACTAATAATTCGAGGAGCATACATGCATCTCCATCAAACTTCGGACCAGCCGTTGGTTCTGCGGAATAAAGTTTCGAAAGTCGTTTGTAGATCTTTTCTCTTCGCCGCTTTGAAGAGAAGAAAAAAGGGAGGAAAGGACTCAAAGGAGAAAGAGAGGTAGGGAGGACAAAGAGATGGTGACTAGATCGGTAGAGGTAGATATCTTTGGATATATCTACTAGCTATACAAAGTAAGTAAGAACAATATTAGCTAGATCTCTTCATTCTTTACTATCTGACTAGTATATTTATATATACATAGGTACTTATACGTGTCTATATATACATGACTATATATATATCTGAAGATTTCCTTTTATATTAATCTATTAATGAACTAACAAACAAACAAACAAACAAACATGGTGATCTCTCACATTCTTTCATCAGTATCAAATGGATTACTCCGTATCTATGAATTCCATCCCAGGGGGTAAATTTAATTATTATCCTGCCCTGCACACCTGTGTACGCTATCGCAATCACACACATGTGCGTGTACATCTCGGATCAAACGCCCCAATCGATTCTCATCCACCGCCGCTTTAATGATCACGTAAACCTCCAAATGGCCCCACACCACACATCAATCTCCCCATCCTCCCATCTCATCGACACTCGGGTCAGAATCAACATGCCAACACCCAAAAGCAGCATGGCATACTCAGGTTCGGGATTAAAAATTGATCAAAGGGGTTACCATGAACCCTAATGCGCTGATCCCCCAGACTTAAATGCTCATTAGCGTGGAAACTTTGACTGCAACTTTGACTGCCTTGATGCAAATTTTTTATCCGTGAGTGGGATGAATGGAAGGTACCGTTCTGTCTGGCTGCTTACCTGGCCTGGCTATTGATTTCGTGCTTTCTTGCCCCAATCGAGTTTGTCATTGTTCATTGTTTATGCTTTACGAGTACTAGCTCTGTCTACGTATCGTTCGTGAGTTACTCGAGTACATGCAGCTGCCCTGCCTACTATAGTTAGTTACTCGAGTACATACAATTGCCCTATCCACTATAGTTAGTCCCTCGAGTACATACACACATACAACTTCCAAGCTTATCAAAAGACTAGCAGAGAAGAATCAACCGAGTCAATTGCCATCAAATCGGCATTCATCGATCGAAATCAACCCGAGTCATCAATTGACTCCAAATCGTCATCTATCATTCCCCTCCAAACAGCAAAACCCCCCCAAAAAACCCAAGCCTTCGGGCACGCTCAAGCCTTCACCCTCAAAACGGAGAAACCCCACGTTCTCAATCTCCAACCCCAAGAAATAAACATTTCATCATCATGGCTGCACCCGAGTTCCGTCTCCCCCTGGCCTACAGCTGGTTCTTCCTCATCATCGAGCCTCTCTCCACCCTCGCCGGAGCCTACTACGCGCACTTCCAACCCGACAAATATCTGCATCTCACCCACGCCGCATCATCCCCCTACCCCACGCCCCACGACATCCCGCTCTCGGCCCACATCGCGCTCACCCAACTCGCCAATCTGTATCTCCTGCTCGCCCTCAACGAAGCCCTCGTTCTCCGCTGCACCTCGGATCTCCGCGTCTGGAAAGTCTTCCTGTGCGGTCTGCTCGTCGCCGATTTCGGTCATCTGTATAGTGTCAAGGACCTGGGTGCGAGCATCTATTGGAATGTACCCGCCTGGAATAAAATGGCCTGGGGAAATGTAGGGTTTGTCTATGTGGCGGCGGCGATGCGCATGGCGTTTTTGAGGGGTTGGGGTTTGGGTACGGAGGAGGCGCAGCGGAAAGCTGTGAGGTCGCAAACGTTAGCGAGGGGTTTGAAGGGGGCTTGAGGGGTGGTGGGGGTTTATGTTTATATATGTGTATGTGTATAGATTTAGATATAGAGTTAGAGTTAGATTTATATATTTCTCCTACCTACTCGTCAGATTTCCGGATATAAGCAAAGTTGTAAAGTGCTTCCGATAAGATGATAGATACTCGTAGCTAAAGTATTCAATTCTTTGGCAAGATACAACCCGAAGTCGGATGAAGTCTACACATTCAATAATGTACTCTTACCTAATATATAAATGTATAAATACATATATATTATTCAACTATCCATCCTCCTTTCTCTACAGCAATTCATAAACTCTGATACTCTTAAAAACATGTCTGGTCTATGAATAGCTCGGTCAAGTACCGGTATCGGTATTAAGTAATGTGGTTGGTGTGTGATGAGTAAGTATATAAGTAGAGAAAGGAAAGAAGAAGAAGTGTTTTTGTAGTCTCGGTGGGTTTGGAGTTGGGGTTGGGGTTGGGTGTGTTTTTGTTTGTTTGTTTGTTTGTTTGTTTGGTTAAAGAGTAATGAATGGATGGATAGATGGATGAATGGGTCTGGGGGTTTGGGGTTTGAGTAAGGAGTTGGGAATGTGAGATGGTGATGATGGTGCTGAGGAGTGGTGATGATGAATAGTTTTATTGCTGTTTTTTTCATTATTATTGTTATTATTACTATTACCATTGCCCTCCCTTCCTGTCTCATCCTATCTTATCCCCATAACATCCAATTCCAACCCATCAAGCCCCCTAAAATACCCTTAGAACATAAAAAAAAACCACCTTCGCTATATCCTCTTTCATATCCTCCCTTATACATTCTTCCCTTTCCTTCTTTCTCAATATCTCAATATATAAACTATCCCAAAAAAAAAGACGCAGAAAAAGTTTCTTGATTTCTTCATTTTAGAAATTTTTGATTTTTGGAGAGGGAGACGGGGAGGGGGAGGGGGGGTCTTTATATATTTTAAGTATTTGAATACTTAGAGTACTTTTATTCGCTTGATTTTTTATCCTCCGAGTGGTTGTGAGAAGAAGGAGGAAGAGGAGGAGGAGAAGGAGAAAAGCAATTCATACATTATTTAGTATACATATATAGGTATATAGTAAAAACATCCACATCTAATAAATCTTCATTTCACATACCTACCTACCTACCTACCTACCTATAACATAAAAACCATCCACTCTATCCCTAAACTATAGACATTTTTATAAAAATAGAGTAAAGTAGATTATGCACTCTATATTCCTCTTTTATTAATCTATAATTCAGATTATGGTGGTGAGATTAGATTAAGTAGGTAGGTAGTTTGAGGAGGTTTGGGGAGGTTTATTAATATAGTATTTTTTCTCGGATTGTGTTGTGTTGTGTTATGTTGTAGGGAGGTATATTGGTATGGATATGTGTGGATTTCTTGTTAGGTTATTGCAGCTAGTTGGTTGTTTGTCACTGATGTTATTCGTCACTGATTTAGTTGAGTGGTGTCGTTCCGTCTTTTTTTTTGTTATTTCGTGCGAATGGTGTTTATGGTATATGTAAGATTACTACGATTTGATAGAGGACTTGAATACTACCTAGTAGGTACCTAGTAGGTACCTAGTCAAAGGTACTTTGTTATGATTAGGTATCTGGGAAGATCCTCACACATCGGCTTAGAATTGGGTTTCGGTGAATGGGATATCGTATCTGGGGAGAATACCTATTCCGCTTTTATAGTGTATGAGTATTTCTTTAGTCTTGATGAGAGAGTTGGAACTTGGAACTGGGTTTGTAAATATAAATTCACGTGCCATACCGGAGAGGGGAGGGACTGACTTGGTTCTTGGCTATTCGATGGATTTGCAGAGTTGTGATGGTGTTCAAGAGAGGAGGGGACACTAAAGAGTGAATATTTATTAGAAGTTTTAAGTGGGAATTCCATATGTGTGAAAGCTCGAGGGTAACACTTCAAAAAACCAGCACCCGCATATATATTTCTTCCATATGTTGTTTAAGAACGATAAGAGACTCTTGAATACAACTAGCTGGCACATTTTAGAATAGGTCAGATGTAGATTGCAAAAGACCGGCGAAGCTTTGGAGAAAAGCGGGAGGGAGGGACGCTGAATGGGGTTTTAAAAAATAGCTGAGTTATTGTCGAGTGAAATATCTCGTCTCCTGTCAATGAAATCTCGGGTGTTATGGTTTATCTTACGCACTGTCATAAGAAAGAATTTATTGATATTGTCTTCGAATTATTTTGATACAGTCCAAAACCACAATCATTCTTTATCTACTTTTTTTGTTTCTAGAGAAATCCTTCACGCTGTTGCATCGTTGGCTGGATCCTTCACGATCTTGTTGTAGTATTCTAAGACCCTTAACATCAAACAGTAAAGGAACTCGGGAAATTAAATAGTAGCACAGGATTGATTTTCTCGAGTTAAAACGCTTCTTATTGGGGTTTTAAGCGAGCTATGTGCAGCTGTCATGATGTATTCTAGGTGTTTTTCGTACTCGTCTCTTGGCGGAATATTGTTGTAGACTTTTGAATCTCATCTCTTTTGAATCGATAGGTTGAAGTCCAGTGAGTACCTATGTATTGTCGGAACTGCGAATGGAGAGTGCTAGTGGTAGGTGAAAATTAAGCAGGTGGGCTTGCTATTCTATCCTATGCACTCTATGAAGGGGGGTTAAGTACAACTAATTGACTCAATTGGTAGACTTAGCGAGTGAATTAGCATGAGGGAACACCGACAGAAACAATTTGGTTAGGGCGAGCAGTGCGAAGGCTGAGCAGAAAGTTCTTCTTAGATCCACAATCAAGTCCTGGTGGTCCTTATAAATGACTTCTATATACTGTACTTAGGTAGATGGTTTGTGAATTTAACAACAAAGGCCATACATAGCTCAGGTAAGTACCTGAAGAGTACCATGTGTTTAAATGTAAAGCGAATTCATTCTGATAATCTTAGGTAAGTAAGGTGATAATTGAGAAGTAAAGAGGTGCTGCGAGTACAACTTATATTGAAGACAGAGTATTCATCTGATGAAGAAGTAAATTCAACGACAGCGAGAAGTCAAGCGACGAGTAATATCAACTGGTATGAGATGAAATACGGCTTATAATAGACGAGTATGCGGCAAAGTAAATAGATTTAGCACCAGATTGGCATTAGGAGAAGGATTGTCCTACATGCAAGTATGGGCTCTGCCTACCCGGTGGTACTGCAAAGGCACTTACGAGGTCAATAGTGCGGTATAAGTAACTACCTACCTAGTGGAATAGTGTCAATATTCACTTCTATCTCACAGACTGTTGACCCTTCCCCGCACCTCGACCTTGTTCCAAGAAGAGGTACCAATAACACTACATGCAAAGAGGGGTAAACACATCATTCCCATACCTAGGTAGGTAGTCAAACAATAAAAAGATGAAAATGAGTGAATAGCACACACATAGAGTCCTACTTAATATATCCATGCACTCCAATGGATATACAAGAGAGCTACGAATTCAAATTATCTCTGACACTAAAACAGATTCAGTCCTAAGCATGCTGATTACTCGCCGGTGTTATACGTAGCATGTATAGAGGGATGAATTACATATTTACCTGGAGAATCTCATCTTAGCTTTGTACTTGATTGATATAGTTTGCTGTCACCTTTCTTCGAACGATTGTTGTTACTAGTTGATGAAAAGTAAAAGAAGAGAAGAGAATTGATTATAGGATATGAAAATATGAAAATATGACGATGATTCCGGATCAGTAGATAGTAGTAAAAGTGCGCTCGCCACTCACTTCTAGAGGCACTGGTCCGATACCAAGTATGTTCAACCCGTGGTACATTTATCATCTGAGTACCATATCTTATCGACAAGTGTTAGAAGTTGGGACGACTGGATTTGTAAAGGACAATGTTGCGTAAATCAGAGGAGAGATAGTCTTTGTAGATACATTGCTCACCGAACTCTTAGTTGAAATGTTAGCGATAAAGTGATGAAGGTTGTTAAATGGCGAAAGTTATTCCCTTGAGAGAAATTAAAAGGATGGCAGTATCTACGCAGACCATGTTGAGGAATTTTCCTTTTTATGATACTACTACATGGGAAAGAAATTGAAAATAGAGGGGAGTATTAAGTACTTTGATTGTTGAATCTGAAAGGGACTAGTGAATAGCTCGAATGTAAAGTTTATGATCTATGGATCGAGTCTAAGCCTTACCTACACTAAAGGTACACTCTATGGAGAATGACACGGCATGTATATAAATACATTCCTTCCTATAGGTCCCAGATGGAGCAAGTAATGTCCCTTGATACTGAATGATTTCCCTCGGGTTGGATAATTCGTGTCCGTGATGATATGAAATATATCATAAAATAATAATATCATATTTGATTTTTGGTGTGAAAATCAATATGATATTTCAAAAAAAAAAAAAAATTAAAATTATAAAATTGAGAAATTCGAATTTTAAAACATCATATTAAAATAATAATATGATATTTGATTTTTGGTGTAAAAATCAATATGATATTTCAATTTAAAAAAAAATTAAAAAATAATTAATGTTTTAAAATTTATAGAAAAGAAAATTTCTAATTTTAAAATATTATATCAAAATAACAATATGATATTTTATTTTAGGCGTGAAAAACAATATGATATTTAATATGGATTTTTTTTAGAACTTCCATAATCGAAGAATTCGAATTTTAAAACATCATATCAAAATAATAATATGATATTTAATTTTAGGTGTAAAAATCAATATGATATTTCAAAAGGAAAAATTACTTCTAGATTAATCCCTCAAAATCGAATTCTTTTACTCGAAATAGCACATCTTCGTAGTATATGAATCTAGGAAATTCTTCTTGTTATTCTCAATTTTGAGATATATAGTATATATAGAGTCGAAAGTAGAGGAGTCCGCTTGAAGATAAGAGGATATACTTGGTATACTCTCTCTCATTTTTCCTTTTACTTAATATCTCTTTAATTATTAGTTTTTGATTAT